GAAAGCAATTTTTGTCAGCAAAATGAAAACAGCAAAACATGTTTCCATGACAATCCAAGCCACACAGTGCCATCCTTCCCTTTGCAATATTCAATGAATTCTTCGAACAAAGGCAGCTGAAACTTTGACATATCTTTTAACAATATTGGCAGATCTCTCCATAAAACAAATTCGTTAAATAAAGCTGTAATGCTCTTTGGGTTTCATATATCTTTAATGGGTGGTTTTAAAACATTTCCTTTCTCGGCAAAGATTTTGCTATCTTGTAAAGATTTAACCTTTCTTTACTATTGATGTTTGTGGTGGTTTACCAATTAGAAAATATACTTATCCATCTTTCGAGCACTGAGTTCAGCCATTGTAAACGACACATCGTAGTCTATAAATGAAATGAAATGAAATGGGGTTTAACGTCCTACTGTTTTGCTCCGAACTGGGCTAATGAAGACGGGCATACGCCATACAGTGTGCTATGAGGGAAATTTTGCCCGGACAGCGGCACTACGGCCTACTCTTATATCGAATTCCAACTGTCAAGGCCGTACTCTATATGTATGCAGCAATGTTAATACTAGGAGACTTTTCTAAACGTCATAGTGTATAGTCACGTGAAAGGCGTTAGCGATAAACATGTTTAAAATAAATGACATACAATACCGTGTCATTATTTGACAGAGAGAGAGAGAGAGAGAAATGGGGTTTAACGTCCACTCGACACAAGCTAGGTCATTTCGGGAATATCATATGGTTTAATTTTATTTACTTAATTCAATTGCGCGTAGGGGTCTTTAGCAGTGGGAGGAAACCGGAGGACCCGGAGAAAACCCACGAGGTTGGACAGGCGACCCTACTCCTTGTCACGTACAACCGGGGATTCGAAACCACGCCAGTCGACTCAATGACAGACTTTATGATACAGCGCGCGCATTATTTGACAGACAATATTGTATACGTAGCAAAATATCGATATACATTTCTGTTTAATTTATATGCATATAACAACATGAAATGAATTGACCAACCGGGGTAATGAGAACGGGCACATACATCACGGAGCGGCGTTTTCATTTACTCTTAATCGAATTCCATCGGTCAAGGATTCTTTTACGGCATACCGACGAGAAAACGTCGTTTTCCGTCTAATCTTAGGAGTGCTTTATGTAAGATGTAACTAAATAACTGGCCGTTCGTGCTATTGTAGTTCAAAAATAGATAATGAAAATAATGACAATTCCAATCAAATTACTTTACTCAGTGTGTGGAGACGTAGCGTATAATGTTTATTATCGGTTATCGTTATATTTTGCTTGCTTAATTTAAGTTTCGGGTAAAATCGTGACGTCACAATTCTTATCTCTATTTAGTAAATGACTTGTCGACTAATTAACACCGGTTTCACACAGACACCACGATCCCGCTACAGCTTAAATCAGCCAGGTCGTCGCTGGGGGCGGCATGAATGTGGTGAGGTCTTTGTCAGCGTAGTAAGAGTTTTGGTAGAATTATGCTACGCTCCCACCACGCTCCTAATTTTTCGTAAATCCCCCTTCCCACTACAGCTTAACAAATCAGTCAGGTCGTCGCTGGGGGGGGGGGGGGGGGCGGGAGTGCATAGATGTGGCTAGGTATTTGTCAGCGTAGTTAGTTTTCCGTATCCCCCCCCCCCCCCTTCCAACCACGATCTCGCTACAGCCTAACAAATCAGCCAGGTCGTCGTTGGGGGCGGCATGGATGTGGCGAGGTCTTTGTTAGCGTAGTAGGAGCTTGGTAGATTTATGCTACGGCCACACATACCCTGTTAAAAATGGGTGTAATTAAAAACTATACGCAGTGTTAATTAAGAGTAAATTTTACACCAAAGCTAGCGTTTTTAAACTGTAACATTTTTGCAAGGGTAACCAACTAAGAGAGCTACACCCAACCTGCATAGGTGTAATTGTTGGGTGTTTTGGATAAGCTACACCACTATCAGTGTTATACTGCATTTACATCAAAGGGTGTAACTATCAATGGTGTTAATTTTACACCATTTATTGGGTTGCAAAAGTGTAATCGATATTCATGAGTACTGAACACGAGGATAGGTCTAATTGTAGCCGCTAAAGGGTGTTTGGGATGAGCTACCCCTCTACAAGCGTTTTATTGCCAGGTATAACTCATTTTAGTATGTTTACTCGTAACGGATATAAGTCGACCAGAATATTATCATGTTTAATAATCTTAATACATTTTTCATAAAGCCTCAAGTATAGATTATGTTAGCTTTTTCACACTTAAAGACGTGTAAATGTTTCAAAAAATTACCAAATACGATATTTTAATTATTCTTAATTCAGATGAGGTGCATAAATTAATAAACCACATTATTCAGTTAAGTTGTAAGGATATGTGTATTGATTTTTCCTCATGATTTATCTTCATTGTAAATTGATACTGATGTCTAATTGTCCAACAGCGGTTGAATTTGAATCAGTCTGATTGACATTTGTCAATTTAATGTCGTTATAAAATGAGGCAAATCTGGGTGGGGCTAAACGCCCTATACATACATGTACTAATTATATTATAGGCCTCTAGTCAATTCCCCTTTTTCTGAACTTAAACGTCGTTGGCTTGAAATAAACATCCAACCATATAATGTTCTACAACCGTATTTTCAACAAAACAAATTATACCCGCTTTGGTGTAATAATTAAAATGAAAGTGTAATTTACAATACACCCTTGAGTAACATTACACTCACCCGAATGTAATGTATCAGGCAGGCTACACTACTGGAAGTGGCAACTAGTTTCCACCTGAATTGGTGTAATGTTCTACACCACTGAAGGTTAGGAGTTGTGTCCTCTCTCTAGAGGGTGATATACCATATATATACAATATTTGCGTACGAGGGGCAGCCATTTTGTCCGGCAGTTTTGGTCCTATTTGTATGAAATTCGGACTCAACCATCATAAGGGTGTAACAGAGATATATTCAAATGTTTTTTTAAATCGGATAAAAATTGTGACATCTAGATGGATCACATCCTAAAAACGCGACCTTTTTGTTCAATCAAGGGCCATTATTCAGGAAGTTACGATCCAATATGCACGAATATCCAAAGGAACAAAGATCTTTGGGTTATAAATATGCATTTCAAGTCTCTACAGGGTCCACAACATTCATATACCATATTTTTACGCTATTTGACTACGAGGCCTGACCCTTTTTATTTGCCAGTTTTGGTTCGATTTTTACGAAATTCGAACTTAGCCATCCTTAGGGTATAACGGTGATATATTCAAACGGTTTTTTTTTTAAATCGGATAAGAATTATGACCGCTTTATAGGGTCCACAAGCTAAAAACGCGACTTTTCCTACAATCTTGGACCATAATTCAGGCAGTTACGGTCCGATACGCGCGAATATTGAAAGGAACTGAGATCCTTGGGTTATAAACTTACATTTCAAGTGTTAACAAAATCGGATAAAAAAATTGTGACCTCTATAGGGTACACAACCTTGAAATACCATATTTTTACGCTATTTGAGAACGATGGGCGGCCATTTTTTCAGTCAGTTTTGGTCCGATTTTCACGAAATTCGAACTAGGTCATCCTTAGGGTGTAATAGTGATATACTAAAACGGTTTTTTAAATCGGATAAAAATTATGACCTCTATAGGGTCCACAAGCTAAAAACGCGAGTTTTCCTACAATCAGGGGTCATAATTTAGGAAGTTATGGTCCGATATGCGCGAATATCAAAAAGAACTGAGATAATTGGGTTATAAACATATATGTCAAGTTTAAACCAAATCGGATAAACATTGGGACCTATACAGTATTCACAAGCTAAAAACGTGATTTTTCGTACAATCAAGGGCCATAATCCATGAAGTTACAGTCCGATACATGCCAATATCGAAAGGAACCGAGATCTCAGGGTGATAAACCTATATTTCAAGTTTCGTTGAAATCGGATAAAAATTGTGTGACCTCTAGAGTGTTCACAAACAATTGTGGACGGACGGACGGGCAGGGGCGACGACAATATGCGTCCAGATGAAAATGTGGGCGTATAAAAATAACATTAAGCTATGACTAAGTATAATGTCTAAAGTCTGTTACGTCCATGTTCGCAAGCGAGATTATCAAATAGGGACCTAACTGGTCTGTATCTGATTTCTGACTCAGGGTCAAATTACTCGTCTGAAACCGATTACCTTTCAGTAGATATAATAATACGTAGGTGAGAAACGGGTTGGAATTACATAATTAAGATCAACTTTCACTACTCTAGATTCCGTCAACCAGTGACAATACTCGCTAATTTTCGTTAGGTAGACAATTGAGACTACGATCACGTTTAAAGGCTCAATACCACTCTTGTTGTAACTGAATAATATGTCCCAATCTTTATTCTGGACAACAAATTGTACTATTTTACAATATTCCAATTAATTGATGATACAAATTTCATCTTAACACACCTAATTTAAAAAATTGGAAAAATTCAACTAAATGATTTGAAAAGCCTGACGTAAAGCTTTTCAAATGTGACTCGGATTTAAAAATATTTTTGAACCCTTTGGACAAGTAAAATAGGATTTAATGGATAATTTACACAACAGGTAGGACACTAACACATCTAGTACTTAGAATAAGGCCTTTTTTTTCATTTTCTGGAGCTGTCAAGCCTGCAAGAGTGTTATTGTCCCTTTAAATATTGTCCATGTGACCTAGAGTAGTGAACGTTTTGAAATATTTTCCACGTTACAGTCACCTGTCTCACACTAGCAGGCTTGTGCATTGACATCGTGAGTGTCTCAGTATACCTAACCCCGCCCTTCTTCATTAGCCCAGGTTAGGAGCAGAACAGTAGGACGTTAAACTCCATTTCATTTCATTTCATTTCTCACTTAATCACCTACCACAGGAATCTGACCTTCTATCCAGACAATATATATAATAAAAAAGAACAGGAATGCAATGCCTGTTGGAAACTCGATCTTACCTGCTCTCGCTTCGGCTCGTTTTTTTTCAACAATTCGTAATGTCAGGCAACCAAACTTCTGTCAATTCACTCAGATATGTTTTTTCTTCAATCTAGTCGTTTTGATTTGCATAAATACTCCCACAAAACGATATCATCGCCACTTGTTTCCAATATTTACATCGTTTTCGTCCATTTTCATTTTGTCACGACCGCCATGCGCTGACGTCACTCAAATAGACGCATTCGACAGACCTCGTTTTTTTAGTTGTTGGGGTTGAGGGATTCTAGTATTTCTACCGATATTCGACGAATATGTATAGACGTTTCACTGACGCATGAGACGACCCTACTCCTTATTATGTGTTAACCATTCGGCCATTTTAGTAGCTTTCCATGTAAGCATTTTTAAAATGGGAGCTAAAGAATAAAATTTGCCTAATTTTTTTAGTACCGTAGCTTTTCATGTAAGCAATTTTAAAATGGGGGCTATAGGATAAAATTTGCCTAATTTTTGTGATTTAAACAATGTTTTTTTTTTTTTTAAATCAACTTCATAGGGCTTTGGCAGAGTAACACAAGCTGTGACAGGTCTTGTAATTGAAGTTTTTTTTAGTTCATCTGATTTAACATTTCGTATTTTAGAAACAATTAAAACTAATGTAAAAATTTCAATTCTGCATAGGCTAAGTAGGCCTACTATTTAAGAAAAAAACAAAACAATTATAATAAATAAATCGTCCATTCAAGTTTGAAGGGCCTCAACAGAACCATTTGTAGTTTGTTGGATTTACCAAACAGCATTTTAAAAGAAAAAAAAAACTTTATATATAGGCCTATATAAAAAAAAAAATCCTGCACATATTCGAGTATTGACGCTTCATAAATTAAAATTTAAAAAAAAAATTCCAAAAATAAATTCATCTGATTTTCCACATGATGTTTTAGAAAATATAATAAATTTAATAGTCGGTTTAGGCTTGTCAAAATGCCGAAGAGCAGTTATGAATTCCAGGAATATTAATTTTAAGGTATTTACCAAAGAACGGTATCAAATATTTTTTCCATAATTGTTTCTAGAATAAGAAATGTTAAATCAGATGAACTAAAAATTATATTGATATCACATAATATTGTATTTATAAATATTTTTTCAATTACAAGATCTGTCACAGCTTGTGTTACTCTGCCAAAGCCCTATATCGGTAGAATCCCTCAACCCCAGCAACAACAAAAACGAGGTCTGTCGAATGCGTCTATTTGTGTGACGTCAGCGCATGGCGGTCGTGACAAAATGAAAATGGGCGAAAACGATGTAAATATTGGAAACAAGTGGCGATGATATCGTTTTGTGGGAGTATTTATGCAAATCAAAACGACTAGATTGAAGAAAAAACATATCTGAGTGAATTGACAGAAGTTTGGTTGCCTGACATTACGAATTGTTGAAAAAAAAACGAGCCGAAGCGAGAGCAGGTAAGATCGAGTTTTCAACAGGCATTGCATTCCTGTTCTTTTTTATTATATATTGTCTGGTACGACATGGTGTATGCATATATATACGGATAGAAGGTCAGATTCCTGTGCACCTACACATAAACACTTCAATCTTATGCATTGTGATCGTCTTAATGCATCCAACCTATATATTATTGTCTATACAAACAGTCGACCGCTTCAAATAGTTCTATAATATCAAGATTGCAGGCAAACACATTAAATACTTGTTAATCAACGATTAATCAAGAATACTATAAACTAATGTATATTATTCAACGCGCTCATATCCGTTAATTACATTTCAACAAAAACAACAAAAAGCTGCCAACTAAAAACATATTCTATGGACTGTTCAATTCTCACCTTTCCCACTACCTGATTTAGCCAGACAGAGGTTTTTAACTCCTATTAGCACAAGTTAGCACATATTTAAATGTTGTATAGCGCTATTCTTTGGGACTTTAAAATAGACGAAAGTCGTTCTAAAAGCACACATTAATGTAATATGAATGTATATACATGTAATGTGATTTAAATTCAATTTTTTAAAAACCTTTTATTGTTCGGCGAAATACGTTAACAGTCCAAAATGTACGTCAGTCGTTTGCGCCTGCTTAATCCATTCTTCACTTTTTTGTTATTATATTATCGTTTTTGAATCAGCAATTTTTAATTTCTTCCGAAACCATAGAGTACACGATCGACGTAGTGTATGGTCATTGTGTCTTAAATATTAGGATCACATATGTTCAAGGTGAGATCAAAATTGATTGCAATGAACCAATATTAAATTCTAATTCATGTTTTTAATTTCAAATATTATGAATAAAATTGACTTAAAAGGTTTAGCTCCTTTAACATCGGTGGCCGAAGCGACGGTACTAAAAAAGCATTGAACCTCCGGACTCGAGATAAGGTACAATGAACACCCCACCCGGCCCCATAAACCTAGATACATCTAATAACTGGGAATCAAAGTACTGGCAACGGATATTTCACAAACCCCGACAGAATATTTAGGGCCAGAAAGGGGGTATAAAAAAACTTTGTGCAGCGAATTGCCAACCTCGGTTGTTCAATAAACCAATGCTACATTGATTTGATTAAGAAATAGATCTAGTCACAAAGATGGTCAGCAGCAGCTTTTATTCTCACATAAAACAGCCATGCACACAATAAATGATCCCTCCCTGCACAATAATCAAAACATCGAATGGCAACAACAAGTCAGGATTATCGCAATATTTAAATTTGCAGTTGTGACAATGAGATATTGGGTACGGCCATGATTTTAAATTCTGATATCCATAATTATACTGTCTACTGTCGAAAATATGACATTACTAATTAAACTGCAGTGCTGTATTTAATCAGCTATATCCATTTCGTACACTAAAACTACGGAATAACAACATGGAAAGTTTAGACGGTTGTAATCTCGTCTTTATCAAGAAAATGTCTATTTATAACTGGACTTAAGTCTTAAAATACACCGACGGCACTGCGTTACGATGAAATGGAATAGCTGATATGGTATTTAGAGATTGTTGTGGCGTGTCAAGGATTGAATTTTAAAAAATCGCACAAAGATATTGCTCCCCAGGGCGACAACAAGAACATTAATGTGCTAACATTAGATTTGTAACTGAAATTCAATAAATTGTTAAAGAAGAATAGTATTTTTTTTTTTTAGTTTTATTCGATAGGGTCAAACAAGTCCAACAAAATTAAATATGAACTAAATTGTATGATCTAGTTTACAATTGCATACACGCGTATTGATCAATAAAATAAAACCAAGTACGAACAATCGAAACCATTAGACAAAATTCGAAGTCCTAAAAAAACGGTATAGGCAAAATAGTGTAATATGCAATCCTTGATAACATATGGTAATTTTTATTCATTCAGACATATTAAGCAAATCCCTGAAGTCATCGCATTTACATTTCAATGTAATTTTTATTCATACACATATCACTGATTAAATAAACCCGAAATATTAACATAGTTTGGGACCTACAGGGCCACGTAATACGCCCACCACCAATAAGTCATCTGAGCTTGCTTTAAAAACAATATCAATAAAACCGCTAAAAAACGGGAGAGAGAGAAATGGGGTTAACGTCCACTCTTCACAAACACGGTCGTTTCGAGACTAACATATGGTTTAATTGTAATTCAATAATTTGCTTGCGTGTAGGGTCCTAAACAGTGGGAAGACCCGGAGAAAACACACAAAGTTGGATACGCGACCCTACTGCTTGTCACGTACAAGTGGGGAATCAAAACCTCGCCACTTGACTCAATGACTGACTTAATAATTTAAACCATTCGCCCACCTCCATAAGGAAAGGGAGACGCAGTGGCCCAGTGAGCAAGACACTGACTCGATGACCATGTCCAAGAAAGTTCCTCGGGTTTATCCGGTGTGGTTTCGCCTTGTCAGTGGTTTAGGACGAGTGGCCCGACAATGACGTGTCTAGTCTTTCGGATAGAACAAAAAACTCGTAGTGCCGCTGCCCTTATAGCACACTGTATGGCGTATGCAACTGAGGCTTCCAATGTTTGTACATTTTGGTGTCTTATGTAAAAAGTATTAACAATGTCTTAGGCAATAAATAATTTCTTTAACATGACGATATGTTGGAGTTCAGCCTACTTTCCACCTACACTCACTAATAATGGTGATTAATTATTTAAAACTCATGCTAGTTATATTAAATATTAAAGTGTAAGCTCTTCTTATAGTTTCCCACCTTTAATATCTTACGTGACATTTTGTTTATCATTAAATATGTGATGAAGCAAGAACCACCTGATGCAATCTAATCATCTAGATAATAACACAAGTATAAAGACGCACAATTTGTTCACGAACTCCATCTTGGGAAAAACAAAACAATAAGTGTAGGCAACTATAGCACCCTAAGTTAACAAGCGGTTGCCATGCAAGATGCGACCACATTTTGCAAGAGATTGACAGAGAACACCCTTAAAAAAATACAATAAGCGGCCATAATCCAGGTTGCAGATGGTTGGATAACAAATGTGTCGACAGTTGCTGCAATAGAAATGCCGACTACGGTTTATGGTCGGTCTAGACCTATATTATCCCCAAAAATGTCCCAGTCCGAAATCCGTCCTCAAATGGGTCAATCTGGTCAAAATCCAAAATAGCCGCCGATTTTGGCTAGTAAATTCTAATTTCCACCCAGTTATCATAATATGATTGAGTTTGGCATCAAATATACGTTTGGGGGTTACTCAAGATGGCGGTCAGTTTTGGCGGGAAAATTCGAATTGTACATAAAGATCAAGTCTGGTGTCACAATATACATTTTCTAGGTAGCTAAATCCATTTTGTACACATTTTAGTGATTACGCGATTCCCCTGTGTCAATATAGGAGAAATTCCAATTAGAGATTTAGATTCCCGATTAGGAATTGCAGATAATGATACTTCTGCCTTGACACCTAATACAATGACATTCATCCAGTATCAGCTAAATTTCATTTAGAGTGTCTCCCTGCTCACTGCGGTAGCGGCGTATGGGTATATCGACCGGGGTCACTCTCAGGTCACTGCGGAAGATGATCATGCCTATTGAAATGCGTGGAAAATTTCATTCACAAAATGATTCAAATGCTGAGACACCGACGGATACAGTATTGCGTGTTTGTCATATGTGCAGTGAACCATTTGATAATGATTTCC